TTCAATCGGCTTCTGCATTACAGAATACTGGTTGAGGTGGCGCCAAATTGCAGCCATGCAATTACGAATTGATGTTGTATGGTATTCTTTACCATCTTTACGCTTCATTGCACATATAAATTTCGAAATTTGATCCTCAAGAACTTCTTTTGAGTTAATCTCCTCGATCTTGCCTTCATAACCTACGTCGGACCGAAACTCTTCAAGTGCTCTGATCCAAACTTGTGTCGCTTTATATGTTGATTCAACCCTCGCATTTTCACGAACAGTCTCAAGATCCTCTAATGAAGGTTCTGTATATTTAATACGCTAAAATTTTGTGCATATTGTTTTAATAAATACGTACTTATATATTTTTTTTTTAAAAAAAAAACCAACAAAAAAAAAATTACCTTTGCGTTATTGTTCTTAACACTTGGACCAGCTTTTTTTACAATACTGGATACATTATTAATCATGCTTGGCTCAGAATTACTCATCACGCTTTGCTCAGAATTACTCATCACGTTTGTTTCAGGATTAGTCATCACGCTTGGTTTAGAATTACTGATTATAGTTAGAGTAGAGTTACTACTCGCAGTTGAAGCAAGGTTACTATTCGTAGTTAAGACAACTTTTTTCTTATTGCTGACTTTTGAAATGTCATCTTTCTTCGTTTTACTGGTTCCAGATGAAATGGCATTCGACTTGAATCTACTAGCTCTAGTTTTTCGCTTGGGCATTAGAAAAAAATTCTTAGGAGTATGCTTTTACAATATAAAGTGAAAGTTTATTTTTTTTTAAAAAAAAAAAGTAACGCCTATAGATTTTTTTTTTATCATTAAAAAAGTAAGAAAGGAATTTCTTTTTTTATTTAATTATCATTTTTTTAGATCTAAAATCTATATATAGAGGGGGGAAAAATCGGGCCATGATTATAAATTGCCGGATAAGTATTGTATACTTATTTGGAATTTATAATTATTTAAGTAACTAGTCACTTAATTTTTAGAGTGACAAATGATTAGTAACAAAGTTATCTAAGTCATCATAGTTATCAAATGTGATTGTCCATCACTGGACTGAACTGGATATTTGCAAACTTCAGACCAAAGTTTAAACTAGCTCAGTACTAATATATATATATATATATTTGAACTTGAACTAGTTTGCAAACTTTAAACTAGACCTAAACTGGACTCATAATTAAGTTTGAGTTTGGTCTGAAGTTTGAAACTAATAAAATTTAGAGTCTGAGTCTGGTTCAATCCTGAACTAAACCCAAACTAGACCAAATCTAGACTGAATCTAAAAGCACTAAAAAAAGTATTAATCTCTTCTTGTTAAGGTTTGAAACAAGGTTTTAAACAAATATACAAAGTTTATATAGATAAATAACATGTAGCTAATAAGTATATAGTTATAGTTTCTTATCTCTTTTTCATAAATTAGTCTAATAAATTTTCTTTTGTAATATATAACTCTCTTTAGAAAACTTCTAATAGATAAGATTATCATTTTGTTTTAATAAATAAAATAATAAAAGTTAAAAATATACAATTCTATATTGAAAGAAGTGTGATGACTTAGTGTAGTGGTCTAGTCGTCACCTTTTCCAAGTAGCAGGTCTAGAGTTCAAATTCCACTGGCAACAATATTTGAAAAATAGGCCTGTGTTCGGTTAATGGCTATGCTTATTAGTTGGATCTAGAACTAAATCTGTAACTTTAGTCATACTATCTAGTAATAAGAGCTTTGGCACAATAAATCTGAAGAATTGGTATAACCGAAAACCTATTTGGCAAGTTCCAAATTTAGAAGTAGCAGTAATCTTTGACAATACTACAAGAGGGCTAAATTTGAATCAGGGCCTGAGATTAGAGAACCAAGTGATCAGGTTCGCTGGTAAAGTACACACTAGCTGAACTGCCAGGTTGTCGCATCAAAGAAAAATAGCATATAGGAATGCGTCAATTAAAACAAAGCTTATGGTATTTTTTACAAAATTATAGCTATACTATCATATAGAGTAGACGTTCTTCTATATAATTTGACATTTAAAGCATCGATTTATATAATAAAATTTTTGTCGATGCCTACTTTTTAAAATGTTGTATATGATTAAATATGAACTAAAATTAGAATTTGGTTATTCGGTTGTCGATCACTGCTGCAGAGTCATAGAAAAGGACTTGTATGATTGGCTAGCAAATGTCGATTAAACAGATTATACTAATAATAGATTGGCATTGTTATTATTACACCAAATTTTAAACATGATTTTCTCAAAATAGAAAAAAAGCCATAATTCTTGTTTTAATTGATGCAGCCCCATATGCTCTAAAAGTATAAACCAAGAGGAAAATGTCTTTCAGATATCTAAAGCCTAGGCAGACCGACCATTCTGGGTTGCTGGCTAGAAGTAAAGGAGAGACCGATAAAGAATCCAGGTAAGAAAATGGTTTAAATATAAATATTGGAGTTGTTATAAACTGAATAAAAGCAGAGAGTACATAATAAGTGCCTAATTAGAAAGGTTAGTACTTGAGAAACGTCTGTAGAATGGCAGCATTTCAAAAGGTGGCGTGAGATACATATACAGAATGGCAAGCCAATATATACTAATTAGAGAAACATGCAAATGAATATATATGTGGGATGTGTACCACTTTGTTAAGTTTATCTCAAGAATAGACTAGCTTAAATTAGTAAGTTCTAAGGTAGTGTGCAAAATCCAAATTGGATAGAAGCAAAATCTATATATTAATAGTAAGTAATATCAATAGGTTAGAGGATAGTGGTGGTAGTTAGAACCAGATGGTTTAAATAAGTACCCCCATAGTTGGGATGCAGGTATGGCAGATAGTGTGAAACCCTTAGTATAGCACTAATATCTTGGGTAGACTAATTAAATTAGATACCAAAAGTGCATGTATAGCTTGATGTATCATCGTTGTAATTACATTATAAAACATCGTAATAACTTCAATAAAAAGTTACTAGACCAAAGAGGTTACCTTACTACAAAAAAAAAAAAAAATCCTATACTGAACTATTTGCCTTTTACTATAGAGATTTAAATATACTTCACATCCACTCTGTATATATTCTAATAGCAATATCTATATATTAAGTGACCTTGTATACTATGTAATTACAAAAAAGCCATACTGTAGCATTGTAACAATACTATAATAATATAATTCTTATTTTTAAATATATAGTTAAATTTCTCTAAATACTACCCTTCTAAATGCAATATCTTTCTAAATATATATAGTATCTTTTTTTGAGCCCAACTAATATTATATTTATAGATTTTTATCTTTCTAAATACAATACCTTTCTAAATAATGTGCTAGAGCTAGTCTCAATAACATGTATTTAGAGAGATCTGGCTATATATTTAAAATAAATTTTAGTTATTTTTTATAAATTAAAATTAAATCTATTTTATTTTTTAATTTAAATTAAAATAATATAAATATACAGTATATATATACAGTATTACAGTATATATATATTAATTAATTTGTATATAGCTATAAACTACACATAGCCGCATTTTTTATAAAAAAAATTATATACTGCTTAAAATTAGGATTAGGGTTAGAATTAGAAATAGAGTTAAATTTAGAGTTAAAGTAAAATTATGAGAGAAGCATTTTTTCTTAGTTACACAACAGGGTTACTTAGTAAAATTATGTTATAGAAATTATAAAATACGGCTACATGTACAAATAAACTAATTCTTATAAAAAAATATTGTATATGTGCTATATATGTTATATATATATATATATATATATTATATACGTATATTAAATAAATTTTTAAAATTTAACGCTTATACGTACGTATATACAATATAAATCAGATATATATTATATAAATATATATATTTGTTAATAACAATTATAATTTTTTTTTTAAAAATATACAGTACGTACTACATATACAATAAAAATTTTAATATATGTATATATATGATCCGAAGTTCGCTACGTATAAGATTAACGTGATAATCGAACAGATCACATTTATGAATAAACTCAACGATTGACAGTTGATTGAAAAGATGTGATGAGATGTCAACAAACAGAGCACAATCACATCGGAGAATATCATTTTCCCACACGAGTCAGAAGATCAGATTTTCACAAATAACTTACATGGATAGTATAATAGTGACAAGTGATAAGAAATACTATAATTAGAAACGTCTGTATCGTAATCTTCACTCGAAATAAGAGTATAGAACTTGCCGCATTTACTTAAAAGCCATTTTTGGAGGCAAAACTTTCAATGCGTAGGAAGGCGGGAAAATACAACATTGGAATAATAGAATAGAAAATTTTAGTGGATTTGATTGTCAAGCACGAACTCATACTCCACAAATTATTCAAAAAACGAATAATCACAAATACAGTATTAACAACATAAAAATAATGTTCATTGAACATCCGGATAATACCAGAAAATGGGGAATAACGGGAATTCTTAAAGGGATACTTTACCCAAAAAGAGTAGTATGCAGCATTTATTTTATGCAGCATACATAGCATGTATGCATAAAATAAGGCGCAGAAAACTTTTTGTCACAGAGTGGTAAAGAAGAGCGACGAGAATGTCGATGAGTCGCCGAAAAAATATAAAAAGCATAACAATTAGGTACTACGTAGATAGGTCACAATATACAGATATGTACGAAAAATAAAACTGCAAAACAATAAATTGCTACAACTTAATACAATATTTAGTAACACTTTTTATATGCGATTTTATGCGGATATTTTGTTATTCGTCGCACTACAGTATTATATAGGAAACAACAATTGCACAAAAAATTTCCCGACGACGCGTGGGTTAAGATCTCTTCTATGTTTGTTTACTCTAAACGTGTTATCCCGAACAGGATAACAGATACACGGAGGAATATCCGCGGAACAGTGATTTCCGACTGCGGCATAAATTGATCGCGTGAGAGAAGAATTTTTGATCACGGATTTATTATAGTAAATAATAATAAATAAATAAGCAATAGTTAAAGGTTGTACGAAAAAAGATAGTGAGAAAGAAAATGAACGGTGACAGAAATAAGTTGAAAGAACATCAAAACGCAGCCTCGCGCTAAGGTAGCAATTCCGGCTGTTCCCGCGACTCGTGCACCATAATTGGTAAACAGTTGCAAGGTCGGACTGAGGCGTTATCTAGATGAGGAAAGAATGAAAGGGGTTTTTTTTTAATATATATTTTTTCAGAGTAAATGGGGGAAATCTCGTGGTCAAGATAGTTCTAATGCGCGTGCCCAAACAAAGACAAATAGCAGTACTCTTTTAGTTAGAAAGAGATGATGGTAAACTGGCGCCGGGCATCGTTGTGGCAACAACATATTCATGGACTCGTTCTTGTTGTCACTCCGTTACTTGTTTGGCGCCTGTCGAATACTAACATAACGATTACAAAGCTCCCCAAAACACCGGATTCTCATTGAAACCCGAGGACCAATCAATAAAAAAAAAAAAGCCATTAATCTTGTTTTGTATAAATGAATAAATCCATTAGTTCTTAAAAATCCTATATGAGTAACCTTCCCTTTCGGTTTGCGAGAGTTGCTATATCACTTATCGTTATTATCTGTTATTGACGCATCAAAGTTATTCATTAACGTTAAACGTTATCCATTAGCGTTAAAGTTATCTATTACTTCATTAACGTTACCGTTTTATCATATGTATCGCAATAAGTAGCATTCATCCAGTATTCTTTTTTGCGTTCGAGAAGATGGAACTGGGATGGTGGAACAAAATAATCGAGATTTATCAGGATTTATAACAATGCGTTTTTTTATAATTGCACGATATTATTTTCTGAAACCTATTATATTATAGTTTTCATATTTTAAAACTCGAAATAATCACTTTTTTCTTTCTTATCACCAATTTCTGACGGGAGCATGTGAAAGAAAACAATCTCGATCAAAGTCACACCTATATTCTGAAATCTATATACATATCTATATATTATATAATATCTATATACATATCTTTAGATTTATACTGTAAAAAGACTATTCTAACTGTGAATTCATTCTTACAAGTTTCTACAAGTTTCTATTCTCACGAATATATATTGATATTTAAAATATATATAATTTATTTATTATACTTATATTAATATAACGTGAAGAGTGACGTTCCCTCAATTGCTCTCCGAAATCTCCGAAACAAATTTATTTGTCCAATCAGCATAGACAAAGCATCCTCTGCATATATACAACTGAAAAAAAAACCAGCCCATTTTTTTAATCAGCAATATATAAAAATCATAACACTACTTTCCTCTTGATAGTCACCATTCCCATCAAATATCTCCCTTTCAGGCAAGCTCTTGAGTGTTTCTCCTGCTTCGATATTTCCTTTTACTTATCACGGTATCTCATTTGATTATTTATATCAAAGCAAATCAGATATTACTTGTTCTCTATATTCTATATTTCATAAATACAGGTTTTAACAAGTTTTGCTTGGTACTGATAGATAGTATTTATATATCAAGCGACTTGTCTTTTTTTTTCCGCCAAATTTATCCTCAAACGCTTGGTTTCTTTTGGACACCAGGATAAATCCACAACCTCTTTTGTTACGTGTATATCTTTATCGGTACTACTACGGTCACCTTTTGGTTTCTATCTTGGGTAAGTTGATCGTAAAGTTCTTGTTACTTATGCTATGACCCTTCAACTTTCGTTCCTCCATTTGGATTCCATCCGTAGAAATGGTACCCCATGTCTGTCCTTTGGTTGCCGTTCTTTTTTTTTTTAAATAATTTCTTTGCGGGTTTATTATTTGGTGGGTAAATATGTGTAGAACTTTGTCAACATTTCTCTTTCAGAAAAACAAATATATACCACGCATATTTCGTTTGCACAAATCTGAAGTTGTCGCACGAAATATTAATCGATGCGCTCCACTACGGCATCAATACAAACCTTTGTCTGCAGGATGCATACCTTTTGTGAACTTCTAGTTTACAAGGCGTAACCAAACAAAAAAAAAAAACAACTAAATATGCGCATTTTCTGTGACGTATCGTATTGTTTATTTCTACGTTTCACTTAACCAAAATATATCTTCCACGTTGCGGCGACTACTACACTATTAATCTTTATTTAGTTTTTATTTTATTTATTATTTTTTTGTTTTTTATTTTTTATTTTTTTTTTTATTTTTTTTATTTTATTTTATTTTTTTATTTCTTTTATATCTGTGTTATTGAGGATTATTATACAAAATAACGATTCTTCAAGCCGATACAAACTTTATATCAAAACAAAAAATAATCCAACTATTCTATATTTGTCATATTTAAACTTTCGTTCCCTGGTATTAAATTAAGCTTACAATCAAGTATACCACCTCATCTTCGTTTTATTTTATTTTTTCTTTTTACTTATAGGCGAGTGTTGTACAAAAATATATCCGTATTCCACCTGAAATGTCGCCAGAACCAACAAGTGTCGCCGCCATTTCTCCCACTAGCAATGTTTTCCCTCATAACTTATTCCCTAAGGAATACAACACATCAAACTATAATAAATCAATTCAAACCGTTGATACGAGAGCGCATGCTTTTTTAGCATCACTCAACAATATTCCATCATCTGCATCAGAAGTACGAGATAATCAAGATGCCCATCGCATACAACGACAACATCAGATTTTAAATGGATCTCATACTATGAGCACTACACAATCCCATCCCTGTCAACAATCCTCTTCATCTATAGATGGCAATCATGAAAGATTGACTGACCGTAGTTCACATGAGACAAAACGAAATGGTTCCTTGGATTTATTGGTTGCAGCTGCTGTCGCTGTAAATTTGAGAGATTCAGATTATTCAAATACAGGGGTCAGTGGCTTATTTCTTATGTATTGTGTAAATGTAAATCAAACAAACAAACAACAGAATCATGTTTTTCCGTAAATAATCTATTATGATAATAGTTTCAATTATCATTATTATTCTATTACTATTATTACTATTTATTGCTATTTTATTACTATTTGTTACTACTATAATTATCATTTTGCTCTCTTATTTATTATATATTATCAATTTATTTTATTATTTATAGACTGCGAGCAAGTCAAGTCCTCCGGCGTCAGAAGTTGATATTGTAAGAAATTATAAGCTTATTTTTATTAAACTTTAATTTTTTTTTTTAAATTTATTTTCTTAATTTATAATTTTTCCTTTTTAATTAATTTAATTTTATTTTTAATTTATTTTTTTGCTGATCTTCTGATATTTTGATGATAGAAACTTGAACAAAAACGACTAGAGCACGAGCGCCAACGAAACGAACAACGTAAAAGATTTGAAGCACAGATGAAAATTCTTGAGCTTCAACAACTTAAAGAAGAGCAAGATTTGCTCGAAAAACATCATGCGGGAGGTTGCTCATCTGTCCAAAGTGCTAGCGCACCAAATACTCCACCTTCTTTGACATCAAATGACTCTCATTCACGATCCGATACTATGTCTAAAATCCAGTCTTCAATGGATACAAGCATGTCTCATCCTAACCAATTTAACTCAGCCCATTCCGAATCGCCTCATAATATTCAACAGAGATCAAATATATCATCTCGTTCTGTTCCAAATTCGCGTCGTAATTCAAATGAAACCCCAGAAAAACTATCATGGCCTGACATAGGGAAATTAAATATTGATTCAAAAGACGATAATTCTGAGAACGTTGAGTAAGTCAAAAACAATTAACTAAAAGTAATTTCTATTTTCTTAAATCATTAAAAAGATTTTATCTTTTTATAGAAAAGATTTCATACGAGCATCTATTGGAAAAAATACTTCGAACTTGCATAAAAATTCGGTTCGTTTGTCTGATGCTACATCAGTTAACGCACCAAATAATGATGCATCACTTTTCCCTCAATTTAATGGAAATTTTTTACTCGATGATGATGGTGAAACTTCTGAGACAGGTTTGAATGGTACGACATCTAAATGTTAAATTAATAATAATTGGTTGGCCGGCTTTTATTCTAACTGGATTCTATTATTGTTATATTTAGCAAATCCGTCATTAGCATCATCATCATACGTTCGTAGGTACCTTCAAATGCACACCGATGATGACAAATTTCCGATATTGGTTCGTCGCGATAGTTATCCTGGCATGGTTAGTTTATTATTATTATTATTATATACAAGCCACTCTCGTTATATGAACTTTCGTTATAGTGAAGACCAGTTTATATAAAAATCCTCTCGATATAATGAATTTACTAATAGACTCTCGATATAATGATGACTTCACTGTAACGAGAGTGACTTGTATTATTTAAACTAATGTCATTTTTACTTATTCATATCATATTAATTTATATTAATTTAATATTTTACTTGATAGTTGTCCGCGTCTTCTGCTGCACTCGATCTTGCTCCTTTACGTCAAACATCTTCGCGTCATCGAGGATTAGATCCTATGTTAAATGTAGATTGGGCATATGCATATCAACATCAAACTGACGAATTATTAGAAAATCGTCCGACATCACGTGCTCAGCTAGACAAGTTAACTCCTTTATTCTCAGAAAATCAAGCCTCTAGTAAATCTACAGTAGCCGCTTCCACTACTACTAGTGCTGCTTCAAATAATGGTTGTTCGAATGGATTTTCTTATGTAAACGATAGAAAAAAAATGGACAATATTGTGACTGAAAGTTCATCAACTAAACCAAGGATACCAAAACTTTCGACTTCTTATTCAACTCCTGATTTAGCTAGTGCAACTCGCTTGTTCGGTCGTCGATCGACAACTTTGAATGGTCAATCAGCGAGAGATTTATTTATGGATTCAGATAATCAAATATCTCAAAATATTCAATTGCAAAATAATAATGATCTTGCCGGTAGTGGTATTTGTCGTTTTTTTCAACAAGGCTTTTGTTCATGGGGTGATCGATGTCAATACGCACATACACATACATTTAACGGAATAACACCGGTAAACATGGGTCTCGCTGCTCAAATGGGTGCATTTCCAGGCGTCATACCACAAATGAATAATGCTACTGCTTTCTATGGACAATATGGTGTGACTGGTATGGGAGGAATTAATATGATACCAGGATCAAATGGTTTTGGTTATAATCAGAACTTTGCTTTAAATGCTGCACTCAATAATAATGTTAATGGTATGAGATCCATGATGCATGTTAACAATTTGACATTCTCTAAAATGAATCAAAAACGGTTAAGTGGTGATCTCGAAGGTATTACATTTTACCGGCAATTATGCTAACATGTATTGCTAACGATTATACTAACGAATGATGCTATGAAATAGTATTAATTATAATTTCATGTCTATGTTTGTAGTCAACAGGTTTACCGGAGTTCTACTGGAAGATCTGGTCGGCGAGATATATTCACTTTGTAAAGATCAACACGGTTGTCGGTATCTTCAAAAAAAACTTGAAGAAAAGAATGAGCAATACATTAGTATGATTTTCAATGAAGTTTTTAGTCACTTTGTTGAACTAATGACAGGTTAGTAGATTTATCTTTTCTTATATGTTATTATTAATTTAACGTGTTTATTTTATTTGGTAAATTATTGTTTTAGATCCTTTTGGAAACTATCTTTGCCAAAAGCTTCTTGAGTATTGTAATGATGATCAACGTACAATAATTATTGAGACGGTGGCACCAGAATTAGTGAACATTTCTCTAAACATGCACGGTACGCGTGCTGTCCAAAAAATGATTGAATTTCTATCAACTCCAACACAGGTTGTTATTTTACTTTATTTATTTCTGTCTTTTTTTTGTATATGCGATTTAATATATTCACAATATTTTTAATTATCTAGATTCGTATTGTTATTGTAGCTTTGAATCCTAATGTTGTACCACTGATCAAGGACTTGAACGGAAATCATGTAATTCAAAAATGTTTACACCGCTTGAGTCATGAAGAAAATCAAGTAAGCCTCGAATATATGCTATTTTATCTTATTATTAGTAATATCTTACCATTGTAATTTTTTGTAGTTCATTTATAATGCAGTAAGCAAAAACTGTATTGAAGTTGCTACGCATCGCCACGGTTGCTGTGTACTTCAACGATGTATTGATCGTGCTAGTGAATCTCAAAAAATTCAACTTGTTACTGAGATTACATTTCATGCACTCACCTTAGTACAAGTAAGTTACTAAATTCTTGTGAAATTCTAACAAAAATTACTAATATTATTAATAATATAATAATATTATTATTGCAACTATCACTCATTTTGGTTCGTAATATATGTATAGGATCCTTTTGGTAATTACGTCGTTCAATATGTCTTAGATCTTGGCGATAGTCGATTTACAGATGCTCTGATTCGTAAATTCATCGGTAATGTGTGCCTCTTATCAGTACAGAAGTTTAGCTCCAACGTTATGGAAAAGGTACATTGACGTTTCCTGCTCATATTGAGATAAATTATTACCAGAATTTTTGTTAAGCTATAATGTCTTTATAGTGTATTAGAGTTGCAGAACCGGAGACACGAAAATGTTTGATCGATGAAATGCTTAATAAAAACAGACTTGATAAGTTATTACGGGATTCTTACGCAAATTATGTTGTACAAACTTCTCTCGACTATGCCGATCCGATACAACGTGCTCAAGTATGTTTATTATTCTTATTTAATTCTAATTAATGTGACAATATCTCACAAATTGCTTTATATTAAATAGTTGGTAGAATGCATTCGACCCCTTTTACCAGCTATTCGCAACACACCATATGGTAAACGAATTCAGGGTAAACTTCACCGTGAACAGATGCAAGCCTTAAACACAATTAACAGTCTCAATATGAACAATATGAACATGCTCAGATTCCCATTTAATGGATTGGGCAATTTTGGAAATATGGGTATGATTGGTATCGGAGATTATACACACAGTTACCATTATTTGTAAACAATTTTTTCTTTCATTTTTGAGGAAGGTCGGATCATTTACTGTGTGTTTATACTCCTCATATTTCCGCGTGTCGTGTAATTTTTCTTCGATTTAGACCTGCGTGGCGGAGATCGGTGTATCATACAACAATATTTCTCTTGTTTATACTATACTAAATATGTATTTTTTCTTTTAACACCTTGTTAAAAATAGCTTTTCTTTCCTATTGTAGTGATAGTTAATATATTATCCGTCACGCGAAGTCAAGTACCGGAACGAAATTTTTTTATTAAAAATCCTCAATATTATGTATACATTTGTGTGTATATACATACAAATATACAAATTTTTTTTTTTTTTTTTTTTGTAGTCATGTTCATTTTTTATTTCAACCCTTTTTATTTCACCTGTAGAAAGTTTCTTTTTTTTTTTATAAACTTTTTTCACCTTCTAAGTTCTCGTGTGTCATGCATATTTTTTTTTTTTTGTGTGAAATATATATATATTTTTTTTCTGAACATATTCATTATGTATGTTCTTTTAATTCTTTTATTATGTATTTATAAAAACACCATTGCTAATCCATATTCAATATTTTGTAAACATGTCATTTGATAATGTTTGCATTTTTTTTTTTCATAGTTGTATTTTCTTGTAACTTTTTAGTGTTTTAGTAAAATTTTCCTTTTTTCACATAAAAATACGGACTGGTTTTTGAATTATATCAAAAAAAAAAAAACATTTAATATTCAAAAAAAAGTTTAAAAATGCAGTATAAAATTTGTCAACCGAGTTAGTCATGTTTTGTATTTTTTTTTTATATAGAAAAAAAAAATAGTTAGTTAACTAATTTAGCAAGTATTAATAAAACAAAAACATACCTATCTAAAAATTCAATTAATTACCAATGATTATATATATTTAAAAATGTCTTAGAATTTCTTGGTTTTGTAAATCTAGAAACGAAATGATATAATAAAGAACATTGTTTTTTAAAATAATGAAGCATATTAAAAAATCCACACCCCAAGGACGTCCATCAAAATAATATTGTGGATTATTTATATTATCTGTTCAATATTCATTCAGTTCACATCTCTAAATAATACACATATCATTTCACGTATTTATTCATAAACTTTCGATGAAAATCGCTGCGAAGAGTGTCATTAATAAATCTTTTTTTAGGTTTATCATCTACTCCACGTGCTTGATTCTTGAAAATTACGTCATCATCCCATCTTTTGTACAAAAAATAAAATTTGAATTAATTTCGCTATACAAATATAATATTTATAAATCCAATTAACTTACCTTCTTTTTACACTAAAGTCCTTACGAAGTAGAGGATTTCCGTTCATGGCCTCTTCTTGTCTTTGTCTTTCGGCGGATTCCATCTTTTCTAGCTCCTTTAATTGAAAATTTTTTATTAGTAGAGTTCAAAAGTAACAGAACAAATATTTAAAAGAAAAAAAAAGATATCTTACCATTCTTTCTTTCTCTTCTGCACGCTCTTTTTTGATTTTTTCCAACTCTAATAAAAGTGCCGCTGTATCATCTTCCTCTTCTTCTTCTTCACTAAACACCAAATTTACAATTTGCTTAACGATCGGTTAAAGGCGCTTACGGCGGGATTATAAACCATATTATTCGTACCTTGAAATATCATCATCACTATCGTCATCACTGTCGTCCTTGTCTAAAGCGGCAGTTTCCAACAATAACCGACGCCGAGTTTCTGCATATTGATTCTCGCCAGCTGCACCAGCTTCACGTAACTGTTCACTTTGTTTTTTTTCAAAGTGCTCTCTTTCAGCCTTAAGGAGTTCCTCTTTAAGATCAAGATTTTCAAGCTCTTCTTTTGTAAGCTGTCCTGTTTGTCTGTATAAAGATTAAAAATGAATTCTAAAGTAAACAAGAAAATGCTAGTAATATAAGTACCTAAATTTAAGTTTTGTGTGAGCTGCAAGATCTCGTGAACTGTATTGTAATGTTGGTGCTTTACTGTCATAACCACGAGCTGGATCAAAAGTTGGTCTAGCAGCTGTTGTCATTGCTATAAGTGAAATAAAAATAAAATAAGCAGAACATAAATATATACATACTGTATATAATATATATACTTCCTAAAAAGTCTCGTGACTGAAACTTAATATGATGTACCCTCACTTTGAATTTGTTTCAATTTTATAGGTCCAATTTAACAAAGTTGGTCCAATTGCCCAACACTGGATGTACCCCAGTAGGGTTGTTAATGGAGTGGGTTGGGTTAAAATTAAATGGAGCAAGCCTTACTCCAGGTTATACTCCGGCTCGCTCCACGTGGAGTCGACCCATGTGGAGTGATTTGGAGCAGATCCATATCTACCCACCTAAATTTGATTCTAGATCAACTTTATAATCTAATGTGCGAAAAACTTATTTGGGGTCTTTGCCTTGAAAATGACCTTACGGTACATGATACCGTAAGGTCATTTTCAAGGCAAAGACCCCATTTATTAATTTCTTGTATAGAAATTAATAAAATTAAAATAAAAATCAAATTATAGTGAGACGATTATCAACTATCGTGTTATCTTTGTAAAGTTTAAAATCAAACTACTATAATATTTAAACGCTTTGTGTTCATTCTTTTTATCCTTTATATATATTAATGACCAATCATATTATTCCATTATCACCCATGACTGAAATATAACATAACTCGCTTTACTGTTACCAATTTAGTCACGAATATAATAAACTACAAGCTTGTAATAGCAAAGCCAAGAAGAAAAAGAGTTGATGATAATCTGTTTGTATGGGTAGGAAATCCAAGAGCAAAAATCCTGACCAAGGATCTAAAAGAAGTGACATGTTTTTTTGGGGTTTGGATTTCAATCAAAAATCAATAAAGGTCGGATTTATTTAAGACAAAAAAGTGAAGTAAGCAAAATAACTGGCTTACTAAAATATGTGATGCCGTGAACGAAGTCACGTGGCATCCATTTGTCATGAGACTGTGACCCGGTCCCACGACCTGGGACTGATGTTCGTTAAGTATGATGTATTTGTGATGGGATTTAATTTGATTGATTGAGAGATGTATCAGTTTATTCGATTTGTTTAAGTTGTTTATTGTGTGGGAATGTTTTTAAGTTGCAGGTAAGTATGAAGTCATAGTAATTGGTTTTTTAAGGGAGAGGAGTTGGTTTTTTTGTTCTCCCTCTTTTGTCTTTGCTGCTAGCTCGACGCAAGTCTAGCTTCGTCGTTTGTAATCATGTGGTCTTGAGCGAAATTAAACCTTAAGGAACTTTTAAGTGCTGTAGCTTTGATAAACCTTAAATAAACTTTAAATAAACTTTAAATAAACTTTAAATAAACTTTAAGTAAATTTTAAATAAACCCTTAAGTCTTTAAATTTGAGTTTTCTTCGATGGTTTTAGTGGAAGATGAAAATGACATTCGGGAGGTTTTTCCGGCTTCATTAGTCGTTGATAATGGCTTGGATAAGGATTCAGGAGAAGTAACTCAACAAGGTTTGATTAGTACCTTGGACCGGTTGCTAGTGGAAATATTGTGTTTGTTTTGTAGTGATGAGGGTTTATCTATGATGGGATCGAAAAAGGAATTAGTTGAGAGATTGGCGGGAAGTGTGTTGAAAAAAGCGAAGGGTAAAGAAAAGGTGGAGATTGGGGGTCAGGATAAGATTCAGTGGGATGGGAAGGGTATTACGTTGGAGGGTGTGAGTAATGGGGGTAATTTTGAGAAGGGGTTCGGTTTGGGTGAGCGTAATGTTAGGGCGCAAGAGTATTTGTCGCCTGATTATCAGTATATTGCTTTGAAGAGATCTTTGGAAAAAACGATGCAAGCAACTTTAGGAAAAGCAGTTGAGGAAATTAGGAGGAGTGTTCAGACAGGTCACGTGTTGGAAGAGAATAAGTATTGGCCGAGAGAAAGTTTTAATAAGGCCAGAAATCAGTTTGAGTATGATAAGTGGTATAAAATTGGGAGGTTGTTGGATAGTGCAATTGTAAATAAGGATTGGGGCCGAATTGGTAAAGTCCGGGATGCGGCGGCTACAAGAGCTTTTATATTGAGAGTGGCAAATAAGGAGGGTTGGGGTATAGCTGCAGGTATTAAAGATCTCTCAAATGATGATTCTATGGAGGCGTTTTTTCAAGAGCAATTGGCTAGTGCTTGACAATCTGCAAGATTTAAGCATCCTAGAGTGGGAAGTGGGCCTGGAGTTTTTGGTTCGAATTTTATGAATGTACCAAGGAGTTTTGGTGGTTTGGCGTCAAATCAAGCAATGCAATGGCCTTTACCCAACTAGCAGTTTTTTCAGCAGCCTGTTCATTCGGGTTTTAGTCCAAGTGGAGTGCCTTTTTTTGGAAATACAGTACCAGATTCGGGTAATTTTTAGCGTTCGTATGAGAATCGAGGAAACCAATGGAACCGTTCCTGGCCGTCTCAGGGTGGTTCTGGGCAATATACCCCTAGTAGACCCGGAAAACAAAGTAGAAACCCTGGTGTTGTTTGTTTTATTTGTGAAAAAAGGGGCTATATAGCTTGGGATTGTTTGCAGAAAAAGTCGGGGCAGCCCTTTCAGAGGTCAGATTCGGGTAGAGAAAGGAGTTAACCACACTTAGGAGGAGATGGGTCAGAAAGAAAAGATGATGATGGGGAGGATTCATTCAGGTGTGTTGGTGGATTATTGGAAGAGGGTCATAAAGCCTGCTGCGGTAGTGTTATTTTGGTTGGAAAACAGAGTTCCTCTTTTTCTGAAAGGAGTAAAATCTTTGTCTCTGAGCGAGATACCGAGACAATTCAAGTTTTCGGAGGACGAGCTAAGGTGGCTAGAGTTGGAGCTGGAGAGGTTGAAAGGTTTGGGGGGCAGTGAGATTGGTTCAAGTGGAAAAAGAGAGGCCAGATTTTTTGTTGGAAGTGAGCCCGGTATTTTTGGTACCCAAAACTGGCCCAAAAAAGTATCATTTGGTGATAGATTTGAGAAGGTTGAATCATGTATTACCAGTAAAAACGTTTCGTTTCGAAGGCCTTGGGAGTTGTTAAGGACGATCGGAAGAGATTGGTGGATAATTGTATTCGATTTGAGGGACGGTTACCATCACATGTTGATAGACAATTGGGCCCAACGGTTTTTAGGTTTTTGGGTGGAAGAGAAGTGGTTTCATTATATGGTTCTCCCTTTTGGGTTGTCTCAGTCCTTGTGGGTTTTCTCAAAAATAATAAGAGCGTTGATAGGGTTTTGAAGGTCTCGAGGGATATTTTGTAGCAACCATATCGATGATGTTTGGGTAGGAAGCCTGTCGAAAGAAGAGTTGCTGTTTTTGAGGGAGACAGTAATAAGGGTCGATTTGGAGGGGTGTGGTTTTGTAAAAGCGTTGGACAAAGAGTGTTGGGAACTGACGAAAAGAGTAAAGATATATGGTTTGATTATAGACATGGAAAAAGCGATAGTCGAGGTGCCGGAAGAGAAGTTGTTGAAAGTGCAAGAAGAATTGGCTGTGATCGAGAATTTACAAGTAGTGCTTGTGAGGAAATTGGCGTCAATTGCAGGGAAAATTCAAAGTTTCGCGCGGGCCTTTTTACCAGCGCAAATAAAATGTTTAGAGTTCTATACAATAATAGATGCGGCAAATTTGGCTTGTCAGGATTGGAACAAGGATGTTTGGTTATCGGATGGGGCATTAGAAGATTTAAGGTGGTTGAGAAGAAATTTAAGAAGATGGAATGGGAAACCGGCTTGGAAACCAGCTCGTATAAGGGCAGTGTTTGTGAATGCGTCGACAACAGATTGGTGTGGGGTGTATCTGGGCTTCAGAGCGGCAGGGAGTTGGCCAAGTCCATTCAAGTTGACGGAGATAGCCCAGTTGGAAAGTTTGGCAGCTTTGAGGGTATTAGAATCCTTTGTAGGGTGGCTAAGATATTCGTGGGTAATTCTTTTCATAGACAATATGGTAGCATTAAGAACAGTAACCCATGGGGAAGTTGTCTATGGCAGAAGGACATTGCAAGGTTTCTTTGGAAGTTTTGTATAAAAAACGATGTTTGGATTTACGAAGTCAGGTGGATGCCGAGTGGGGAAAATCTGGCAGACTACCTCACGAGAGTTTGAGATATAGGAGATTAGCGGTTAGACGATTAGGTGTTTTTGGAGTTGAAAGTGAAATGAGGACCGGTGGATATAGATCGTTTTGCAGATCATCAGAATACAAAAAAGGCACGTTTCAACAGTTTTCATTTTTGCCCAAATTCGGAGGCAGTAAACTGTTTTACTCAAGATTGGGGTGGGGAGATAAATTATGCATGCCCCCGTTTGGGTTGGTTTACCGGGTTTTGATGCATAGTCGAGAGTGCAGGGCCAAAGTGATATTGATACTCCCAGTGTGGATTTTGGCAATTTGGTGGCCGATGTTTCTGGGGGCATCTAAGGAAATAGTAGAGCTTTCACCAGCTTCAGAAATTATTCTCCCAGGGCTGTTGGGTCAAAGGGAGCTGTGCAACAATTCGGCTTGGAGGTTAATAGCGGCGAAAATAAACTGGTCGAAGTGTTAATGAAATGAGCAGGCATTTTAGCTAATCGGGCGGTAAACAGACAGTATAGGGTGAGGTTAGAAAAGGCTTAGCAAGTTTTTAAGAATTTTTGTAAGGGGATTGAGGTTGGGGCTTGTCTAGCGAGTGTGGATACGGTTAGAGCTTTTTTGGGTTGGATAGAGATAGTAGGCTTGGCAGCATGCTTGCAGGAATTTCTTGTAGCCATAATGAGGCTTTACAAAGAAATGGGGTTTGAAAACCCGACGGAGGATTTTAGAGTGAGGGAGGTGGTGAGGAGAATTAAGTTGGAAAGGGCTCAAGTGAAGGATGTAGATTGGCCTTGAAATCCTTTCCCATTAGAGGCTTTAAAGCAGTATTACGATAATTTGCCAGAGAAAGTAGATTCAGTTTTTTTGGTGTAGGAATTTAGCATTGGTGGCTTTAGGTTTTTGTACGATGCGTAGACCAGAGGAGTTGTGTAGTTTGAGGATGAAGGATGTGGAAAAAAGGTCAGGGT